GATATGATCGAGTAACACACTTCACTTCGAAGTGAGTGATATACTTGGCGAGAACAGTTGTTGATGCCAGTTATTTACTTCGCCTTATTGCATTGTCTTATTTAATTTCGGAAGTCAGTCCGAAGAGAATAAGTTAGTTGAACAGACTCATACTGGAAACGATTCATACCCCATGCGCACTCTGGCAGATGGAACATAATCAAGTTCTATCTTGTAATGAATACAGCACTTGAATAGTATCGTATTTGGAGTTGTACACTTGTGATACGACGCCTGGCACCAAGGACTATGCGATTTTCGCAACGAAGTAGACAAATAGTTGAATGGACTCATAATTAGAACAATTCTCTACCCATTTGATTGTTAATTATACGATTTAGTATCATACTGCATGTCAAATTGAACGATGTATTTGTTCAGTACAATCCAATTAGTTCAAATGCAGCTATTCCATTTCTTTGTGCTTGTCAGTGTGCTGCCCAAATGTTGGTTTTTGATGGGTTTATTCATACAGGATGTCCAAATGCTTTAGGTGTCTCCCTTATGTGCCGTTAACATTCTAAAAGTAAGCTCATAATAAAATCAGTGCTTTCAACCACTACTCATCACGGTTTTTTTCGCAAGTATCTTTTATTGCTAATCTAGGTGTAAAAAGGATTTACTATGAAAACGCCGAAAGAAAAAATGTCGAAGGAAAAATAGTCGAAACAAAAGTCGAAAAATAAATATCGGAGGAAAAAACGTCGAACGAAAAAAAATCGAAAAAAAAGACGTCGATCATATAATATGTCAAAACTTCTAAGATGTCGTCATTGACCAATATTGATTTTCTTTCCTATCATCTTTCTCGTGTTTTCTCTCGTATTTTCTTTTATAGTTTCGTTGATTAGCTATAATACTTTTCCTCCAATAAGTCATTGCATGAATGAACGTCCTAGAATATCGAATAGGCACATAACAGAAAGAAAACAAAGAAAAATCGAGGTATTGTCTTATGACCGTATATATATATATATATCGCTTTTAGACATTCTAATAGATATTTCTTCGTTATTATTTATAAATTCTTCGGTTGTGAAATGTCCAACAATACAAGTTCCATATCGTTTATTTATTCCAACAAAGGTGGTTCTCAATTGGTTCACGATGATTTCATATTCAAATTAAATAAAAGGACATCAACAAAAATTTATTGGAATTGTACAGTGACAAACTACGCGGCATATATTCATACGGATACCAGTAATAATTTGCTAAACGCAACTGGTGACCATAATCATTCGCTTGAACCAGAGAATTTGAAAGTGAAACAATTTCGAACAATCCTCAAGGAACGTGTGGTAAACGAAACAATACCAATACAAAAAATCTATGATGAAGAAATTGTCAAGGCAAATTTTTCGCCAGAAATTCTTGCATCTGTTCCACTCGCTCACCACATAAGTATGACTATAATCGCTCAATTTTCGAACATATCTTTGTGTTTGTTTTTTTTTAGAACCAGGATTGAATCAGACACGAAGAAAGCTAACGCCAACATTACCTACATAAAATTCATTCGATATTCTTGATGATATCAAACCACAGCCTCTAGTGAAACTTCCTTGATTTGCGATAAATTGGTTTCTCGGAAGAAAAGAATGTTGGTTTTTGGTAGTCCAAAATAATTACAATTGTTATTCGACAGTTCTACTATTTTTCTTGATGAAAGGTTTCGAACAACGCCACCGTTTTTCGATCAGGCTTTTACCATTCATGCTTTGAAATTTGATTGTGGTACGATATACATCCTGTTTCATAAACAATAAATCGTATTTCCTATCTTTCAGCTTTTCCATGTGTATTTGCCCTATTACCTGATCGAAAAAAATTGATATATCAACAATTATTTCAAGAATTAAATGCTATTGCTTTATCTATGGGTCGAACATGGAAGCCTGAACAAATTATGTCTGATTTTGAAACCAGCTTGATTCCAGCAGTATCTGCCGAAGTAAAAACTATCGATCACTTTATATGACATATCTGTTTTTTTCGTTTTAGTTTCCTGAAAGTGCTCATAAAGGATGTTATTTTCATTTTAATCAGTGCATGTATCGACGTATCCAATTACTTGGTTTAGCCACAGCTTATTCACAAGATGAGTCAGTTCGAAGTTGTTGCCGTAAACTGATGGCATTACCACTTTTACCAATTCAAGAAGCTAAAACTTCTTTTTATAATTTACGTGCAACAGCAGATCCAGCAGTGAAGAAACAACTTCGCGATCTATTTTTATATTTTGATGATTATTGGATTAATAATATATCAATTGAAATGTGGAATGTTCATGATTATCAACATCGAACTAATAATATATGTGAAGGTATATACATTCCTTCTTTTACAACATTAGGTGAAAATATCTATATTTACGATTTCACAACCGGCTAAATCGACGAATGGAACCAGCACATGCGAATATATGGTCATTCATCAGGTGCATTGTTAGTGAAGAAAGTCGATTTCAACACTTGTACGTGCAAATAAGTACAGGTGCTCAACGTCGACCAACTTGAAGTTCTGCTGATGATATTCAAAAGCGTATCGATACTCTTATAGCACGTTAGAACAACAATAACATCGACGTTGCGCAACTGTTGGATAACTTATCATTGCTCATCGCGAGAAAAATATAAACTTTATATTAACTACGCACATCTAGACCTATCGAATGATTCATTTTTTTATAGTTCTTTGTCGTTCTCAATAAACGTATTTTTCCTTTTTTCTCAATCAAATAAACTAAATATTTTATATTTTTCATCTAACATCATTTTTCATTGATTCGACATTTTTTTCCATTCGATCTTTTTTCAGCCGATTTTTTTTCGACCTTTTTTTCCCGACTTTTTTTTCCTTTGACATTTTTCCTTGCGGCATTTTCAATACATACCGTAAAAAGTCTTGACACAAAGTATATGTTCAATTTTCTTTCACTTAAAGGTCGCAGGAGGCAGTCAAAAGTAGTTAGCTGGAATGAGCATTTCATGGTCTTTCTAAATATATATTCATAATTTTTTCCGACTTAAAGTTGATTCAGAACAGCAGATCATCGATAGGGCCCAAAAACGGCGTTTGTACAAAACATTAGTTTCAAAGGTCTTAGAAACTATGTTTACTCATATTTTGGACATTGAAATGTAAATGAAGAGGATTAAAACTAGTTAGGTAGAACTAGAGTTCGATACTCTTTTTAAATACAACCGTAGAATTTGACACTAACTTACGGCTAGTTGCCTATAAACAAATATCTCAATGAATAAAAAATGTCGTTTGTGCGAAGCAAAATATGCTTTATTCTATATTGTGCAATTTCTCGAACGGGTATTTTGTAATAGTTTTTCCTTTCTAGTTTTCTAAAGAATTTCATATTCTACAAAATCGTGGATTCCAATAAGTTATATCTCAAAATGGGCAAAACCTGAAAACAGTTTTCACATGCGACTCTGTAGATGCTATGACATTTTTCAAAATGACGGGTTTTTTGAGAATTTTGCTATTTATAACACAATAAATTCTGATGCTTTTCAGCGATATGTGAAAGGTGGAGCAAATTGCGCATTTTGTAGAGCAAGCTTCGTTCTCCAAACTAGCATATAAGAAGGCTTTTTGATAAATAGAATTGATGTATTTTTAATGCATAAACAAAAATGCATCATGTGAAAAATTCTGTACAAACGTTGTTTTTGCTCTCTATCGAAGATTTGCTCTTCTGAATCAACCTTAAATCGGAAAAAATTCATGGATACATTTCTTGAAAGATTATGACATGCTCATTCCATCTGACTACTTTTGATTGCCTTCCACAATTTGGGTAACCGGAATTTCACCAATAAGACTTTCGCAAATCGGACTTTCGCCATTGGCAAAGTCCATCGTACTTTCGGCAGTTTATGTCCCGTACATTCGCCAATAGAAGAAAAAGTGACATTAATTGGAGAGATTGGTAGCAAATATATCCTTAGATAATCTTTGAAAATAACATCATCAAAAGTTTTATTCTTAGTTCTAGATTTTGTTCGAAATAATTGTTGAATGGTGGTTGTGTATTAACTAGTGTCAAGTGTAACATCGAGAACATCTGTTCAAATCAGTCTCTTAGTAAGAAATATAATATCTATGATATGCTTTCCAATTTTTCAGATAGTTATTGCTAATTAAATGCCTATCACTACTCGTGCAGCAGCATTAAGGTCACAAGCTAATGGTGATTTAAACCATTCACAAGGTCAGGCAACATCAACTCCAACATCAACTGTCAAAACAACTCGTAAATGTTCATCAAGACAAAAACATAAACCAGCTCATGTACAACCGATGATATCTTGTGCTAAATCTGAAATATATTCTCCATCGCAACAAAAGGCAACAACTTTCGATGTTGCATCTGCACCTGAAGTTATTCACCGATCTGATCATAAAGATGTGGTATTAAAAAAGTCGATACAACATTTGGAATTCTATCTGCTAATCAATCATCTACGCCATCCCAAGTCAACAAAGGTACAAGAATCCAACAGAATAAAAATAATAAAACTGTATGATGTCATTCTTTAGATTTTCAACCAACATCTTCATCGTCAATATTGGTTGAATCAACATCACCATATGTTCCAATTTCTTCAACAACAACAGAAACTAATAATCATTCTATCACATCATTAGGATCGTCAAACAATGATGAAAATGAAGTATTTTCAGATGAATCAAACGATCTTATGAACAAACCAATCGTAAAAGGAGAAATAACAATTGGTACATCAACTCGAGGTGGAAAAATGATACTTATGAACAGATTTTCATATCTTTATATGAGCACAGCAAAAGAAACAACCGGTTGGCGATGTGCTAGAAGAAATGAGAAGTGCAAAGCTGTTATTCACGTCCCCAAACAAACAGGACAATTTAGTCACTGAAACGGAGTATCGCATTGTCATTTGCCTGATCTAGGAGAAACACGAAAACGTGACATATTAAACAAGTTACAACATCTTGTTATTGATGAAAACATTCAAGTTAAAATTATAATTGAAGTAGGGGTGTCACATTACTTTGACTAGTCATACGTAATAATTAATGGCATTATCACTTATTATCAGTGATAAGTAATAATTTTGAAAAGTAATAAAAGTAACAAAGCAATATTGGTAATAAGGTAATAAAAAGTAATAGTAATAAAAGTAATAACTGTTATTACTAATTATCAGTAATAGTAACTACCATACAAAAAAGTAATAAAGTAATAAGGAAGTAATAAGTAATAATAAATAGGATAGTAGAATCTATATCTATCTATACACAAGTAAGGTTCATCAACATTGAAAGTCGATTCACTGGACCCTAGACTGACGGAATGATGACACAGATGTCCTTATTTTTTTTTGATAAAAATGAATTCTGTTCAATGATGAGTTTAGGACAAATCATTTATATTTGCAAAGTGTTGTATATTACATACTAAAGATATATTCAAACAGTTGACATAAAATATTGAAAGATGCCAATGTATATGATAAAGCATATGAGTTAGTTGATTCTAAGGACTAGCAATGGTTATTTATCCCATAGAACTGGTCATTTCTAACATGGATCGAGCTAGTGGTGACACAGACACGCTCATTCCGCAGATAAGAATGATCAACTGTGCCAAAGAAATGGTTGATTGCACCGTAGAAACTGAGTTGACCCACAAGAATGGTCAATTATGCCAAAATAAATGCTCAGTTTTACCACGACTCACGATACTTTGCACTATAGCAACAGTCACTTGTACCATGATTATGGTATTTTGTACTATTACAACGGTCATTTGCACCATAAAAATGGTCATTTGTACCACGACCCATGGTGCTTTGTAGCATGACAACGGTCAATTGTACCATGAAAATGATACTCTGCACCATCACAATCGTCACTTGTACCACGACTTTGGTATTTTCTGCCGTCAATATGCTGACTTGTACCACGACTCTGGTACTTTGTACTATGATAACAGCAACGTCTACCGCGACTAATGGTACCTTCTACCATGACAATGGTCACTTGTACCACGACTATGGTATTTTGTACCTTGACAACGTCACTTGTACCACGATTATGGCACTTTGTACCATAAGAATGCTCATTTGTACCACGAAAATGGCCATTTGTGCCATAAAAATGGTGATTTATGCCATGGAAATGATCTTTTGTGCCATAAAAATGGTCATTTATACCATAGAAATGGTTTTTTGTGCCATAGAAATGGTCATTTGTGCCATGGAAATGGTCATTTGTGCCATAGAAATGGTCATTTGTGCCATACAAATGGTCATTTGTACCATGGAAATAGTCATTTGTACCATGGAAATGGTCATTTGTGCCAAGCGCTTGTTACAGACAGACAGACCGACAGACAGTCAGACCGACAGACAGTCAGACGGACAAACAGACACAGGTGAATTACGGTTTCTAGACCCTAGCCTTTCAGTCTAGAGAATATAAAATCTAGTGTGTGCCTCTGTGTGTGTTTCTCTGTGCCGATCAAAGGTTAAAGGTCAAGGGTCAAAGGTCAAGGGTCAAGGGTCAAAGGTCAAAGGTCAAGGGTCAAGGGTCAAAGGTCAAGGGTCAAAGGTCAAATAAGGCTATAAGGGGAAAGCGCCAAAGGCTATTATATGGAGGTACCTATAGGTTCTCAACGCCTATTATATAGAGGTACTCATAGGTCCTCACGGGCTATTATATGGAGGTACCTACAGGTCCTCTTGGGCTATTCTGTGAATGCAGCCATAGGTCTCATGGGTTATTATTTGGAGGTACCCATAGGCCCTCAAGAGCTATTATATGTAGGTACCCATAGGTCCTCAAGGGCTATCCCATGAAGGTACCCATAGGTCTCATCCCAGGCAGACAAGCTTTTGGAAAAACGCGTTTAAACGCATAGAAATTGGCCTAAAATTAGCCAAAAGTGGACGTTTTTGGCTCACACTTGAGGTTCCCGACTGTGAGCCAAAAACGCCCATTTTTCGCCTTTTTTGTGCGTTTAAACGCGTTTGCATGCATACAAAAAAGAGAAAAAGTAGTCGTTTTTTCATATTCGAGATGCACGACCATCATTACAGTCACGTTTCTTGAGCTGGAAAAACATAACAACTATTTTCTCTTTTTTGTGTGCGTTTAAACGCGTTTTCAGACAAAAAAAGCGTTTAAGGGGCCCCCCCCCCCTCAGAAAAGTCAATTTTTCGAAAAAAACTCAATTTTGAGATTTATACATATTCTGATAGCCCGTGTGATGAAATACAAACTGGCATAATTTGTTTTGCCAAAACGTGTACACTGGTCTTTTTTTCCTGACGAATTCTTTTTCTGAGGATGTGCTACTGAGGCATAAAGGGTGTTTCATAATAGCTGAGAATACAGTGTTAATGATATTTTTCATACTTTTGTTTGACCGATAGAGCTGAAATTTTTACCACATATAGAACTAATCAAGTTCTTTTAGTTCTGAAAGTTTCAGCTCTATAGCTATGATTAACAGTAAAATACATTGATCGAATTGCAATACATTAGTTTTCGTACTCAATTTTTGCCCTATTTTTTCAATAAAAAACGAGCACGAAAACTTACGTATTGCAATTCGATCAATGTATTTTACCGTTAATCATAGCTATAGAGCTGAAACTCTCAGAACTAAAAGATCTTGATTAGTTTTACATGTGATAAAAATTTCAGCTCTATCGATCAAACAAGAGTATGAAAAATATCATTAACACTGTATTCTCAGCTATTATGAAATATCCTTCATGAACTTCTATTGTATGAAAGTGTTTGTAGCTTCCTAATACAACAGTTAATTTCACAAAGATTTCGATGATGTTGAATTGAACGTACGTATTTATACAAGTATGTGATCCATTTTCTGTCCCTATGCATTGTATCGGGACGATGTTTTCTGAAAACCTAGTTTATTTCTAATACACTATCACAAACAAAGATTAATCTACTATCAGTAGTTTTAACTACTAAGAATCAGTAACAACAGTGTAAACACGAAAAAAGTAACATTCATCGTTTTTATTTTTACAAAAACATTTACAAACAATAATGAGGTGAAAATCACAGTTCGATATGCACCAGAGTGATAGTCTTCAATTGTATCATCATTCTTATCTTCATCATCATCAGTATCTTCATCATCATTAGTATCTTCATCACCGGCTATCTGTTGTCCTCGTCTCTTCCTCCATTGTGCTTCTTTTTGTACGCGTTGTTTATTTATGCGATCAAAAGCAACATAAGAAAAATGACCCATTTCACCTACGAAATAAAAGTCTGGAATTAGAACCTTTGCACAGAAACAAAAAATAATCTGAGACATACCTAATAGTTCGTGTAATATTTCACCGATAGATAAGTAACCGTCGTTATAGATCATAACAGCCAACCCAAGACAGACTAGAAAGAAGGAAAAACATCGGATGAACTATAATATTAGTCGAAAAACTCTATCTTTTACATACTATCAATAATAGTTCCACTACAATATCTGTTCTTAGGAGCCATGGACCATAAGAATGAGTGAAATGACTCATTAGCATTTTGGCTGGATCCATTAAGTACATGTTGTAAAGTTTCTTCTAAAAAAACATCATAAACAAAGAAGTAAAAATCATTATGAATAGAAACAACTTACTAGAAGCCAGGTCTTCAAATGCAGGTTTAATAGCTTCCATGACATATTTTGGTAAAGAGTGTTTCTGCTGGTCATATTTTGTGCCTATGTTAAAATAAACATAAATATTTAACGAACAGCTAGAACAAACCATGCGGATAAAAAAAAGAAAAACAAAGTCATAAAAATCATTTTGTAGATACCTGTTAGTAAGGACTTTTTATAGCCACACCAATCGCCACACCAGTCGTGATCAGGTTCTTCATTTGTCGATATCTAAAAGGTTATCAGTATAAATTATAGTGAAGTTTGTCTCTTTGTATTATAGTATGTTCTCTTACTTTATGCTTATAGACCGCCCACGTACGTTTATGCATCATGTCTATATCATTTTTATATTCATTGATTACTTTTGCGTAGTAAAACTTGAACTTTATCATCATTTCTACAACAAGTCAACAAAAAATATTATCTATCTATGAAGAAAAAGTAGTGTCAATAATTCTTTACTACTTACCCTTGGTCAAGCGATTAACACCACCAATTCCTTTTCGTTTTTTTTCTGGATCTAACATTGTATCTTTCAACTCTTGTGTCAACTTTTCCAACCGATATAACATTCTTTTTGACCAATGATTGATGTCTTCGATCTTCTCAATTTTGATATCTGGATATGGGGGATGTTGAGTAAGATTCCACATGACCGACGAATCTCCATCTCCAATATACCTGTAACATTTTAACAATGAATAGAACATATTTTATCTAGTATTTTTATGTTTGTACATACCGAGTGTACTGAACTTGATAGTTTGGAACGGAACGTTTAAATATGTCTTGAATACCTTGTGATTCCATACCTCCTAGAAAAAAGTTCAACATAGATTTATTTTCAGTTTTTTGATAGACAAATCCTAACTTACCAGATGATCCATCATAATTTGATTCACAGTCATGATTGTTAATAATTTCGACATATAAATCTGGATCTGTATTTTTCACACTTAATGCACCAGTGCATATCACACATTTTTTTGATAAACGTTGAACATCGAGTACTTTCGGTGTTGTGTTGCACGATAAAACAGCAGCTATTCCATGGATACTTTTGAAGCCTCGTCTTTGCCATGTTCCATCTCCACTAACTGTTAAGTTTGTTGGATCACCTTCGTTCTCATCAACAGCCTCATCTAAAAGATAATAGACATACAATGAAACGAAAAAAAATCATATTATTGTGTTTTTTTACAAAATACATACAAATAGCAGCTTGCATTGATTGATGTTGGAATTTTTTGATACATGGTAATAGAAGTTTTCTATCAATTTCTTCATAGTGATCTTCTTTTACTGGTGGAGGTATATTCATCGTCCCAAATATTTTAGCTACACCAGCACGGCCAATTCCTGCCAAATGTGCACCTAGAAAAGAAGCTATAACGTTATCAGAACCGAACAGAATAAGATAAGAAGTTTTATCTGATTGAATCAGATACTGACGTACCTAATTGAACACGTATATTGATATCACGATGTTTTGTATCCGGAATCATCTTAGATGTATTAATTTGTATTGTATGTTCACACTTTTGGCATGTAAATGCTAATGAACAATATAAACCTAGATGTAAAAAGAAAATGAAAATGAATCATTTTTGTATAGCAAGTCAAACAAGGTTCCTATCAACATCAAAATCATTTATACATACCTTCTCTCTTACTAATATGTATTTTCCCATTCCATTGTTCTTTACATCCAATACATATGGTATTTCGCATCAATTCTAATAAAAAGCTGTTGTGGATTACTTGATAAAAATCCGTTTCATCACTATCGGCTACTACATTATTTTTTCTTCTTTCATATGCCATTATTTTTTGCTGTGAAGTGCATAAGTTATTTAATGTATTGTTTGAAGATAATGAGGTTGTTGTCAAATATAATGAATTAATGAATAGGTCTTCAATACTATTCGATGATTCAGATGACGACGACGATGATGAACGAGTTGGACGAGACGAATCTAATTGCTTGTGTTTGGACAACCAAGCTCTACGAGAACGTGCAGCCTTGCTGCTCTTACGAGACTGACGACCTTTTGTAGTAGGCATTTTAAGTTTTTTTTAGAAGTAAACTATATCTAGAAATAGATAATTTTATTGACAATCAGTTGTAAAAATGAAAGATCAAAAATGAAAGTCAATTCAAAGCAATACGTAAAGTACAGTAGAAAACAATTTTTTACATTCAGAGCTACGATTGATCGAAAAATCACCAACCAAATCTCCCTTCGAGACCTTTACAAAGGCAATAACCATTTTCGTTATCAGAGCATTCAGAGAAATATATACAAGCATCTTGAATAGGCAAAAATTTATAAATGTAATTTTATTTTCTGAATTAACCAAAAAATTGATAAAACATGTGTGACATGAAGTGACATCTATGTATAAGGAATCATGACCACAATTTAGGCATGATGCGTACTATTAACCGTATTACGATATATCTACATACAGGCTATCAATAAAGCTTGAGGAATAGTGCGAAAATATTAGGTAGATAAGCAGACTTATTTCGAATTAAGACACGTATTGCATCAAAAAACTTTGTTTAGCGTTTTTCTCAAAATCAATTTTTTTGATCGTACCGTTTACGCGGGCAAGGATTTCTTAATAACGACTCAATATAGAAACGATAATTTTTTTTGTTGAATAGAGGACAGTTAGGGCTAGATCCTCACGATCTCCGATTTTTGAATTTCTCTTTTATTGAAATAAAAAACTTAGATATTTCAGTTTGATGAGCGCTTTGAATTTGCACATGTGACGAAAAAAGTGTTTTTAAAAATCAAATAAAGGGAAATTTAAAAATCGGAGATCGTGAGGATCTAGCCCTAAGGTCACTCTACAATTTAAAAACCAGCCCGACATGATTACATCGTAACCCCATTGTGAAATCCTTGCCCGCGTAACGGGTAATGAATTCACTAGAACTTGTGTATAAGTTTGAGTTTTGGGGGAGATATTTTAACCATAATCTATTCTAACCAAGACTAACATTCTCCGAAATTTTGGTTGAAATCGGATGAGAAAATAACGAAGTTCGTTTCTGAGGGGGGGGGCCTCCTTAAACGCACAAAAAGGGCGAAAAATGGGCGCTTTTGGCTCACAATCGGGAACCTCAAGTGTGAGCCAAAAACGTCCACTTTTTGCTGATTTTAGACCAATTTCTGTGTGTTTAAACGCGTTTTCTCAAAAGTTTGTCCGCTTTGGATGGGCTATCCTGCGGAGATACCCATAGGTTCTCATGGGTTATCCTATGAAAGTACCAATAGGTCCTCAAGGGCTATCCCATGGAGGTACCTATAGGTCTCATGGGTTATCCTATGTAGGTACCCATAAGTCTCATGCGCTATTATATGAGGGCACCCGTGGATCCTCAAGGGTCGCCCTGCAGGGTACGCATAGGCTTTGAAGGGTGTGAGACAATAAAGGGATAAGGCTACAAGTGGTACAAGGGATACAAGGCTATAAGGATATAAAGCTAAATGGACTATAATAATATGTGCGATAGAAGCGCATGAAGCCGTGAGGCTTCGATCTATATACATAATATCGCGTATCTATATGTCTGCTATCGAATGAAAAGTTAAACATCTGAAGTCATACGTTAAAGGAAAAATGAGCCGTGCAGTATGTACAGGTTCTCGCTAGTCTATATGTATAACTAGCGAGAACCTGTGCATATTGCACGGCATCGTTTTTTCTTTAACATACGGTCTCAAAACTTTAACCTTTCAATCGGTAACAGACATACAAACACTTAATATTATGTACATAGAAGCCCTACGACGTGATATCTTTCTAACGCTAATAGCCCCTGTCGCCTTACGGCCTTATAAACTTATCCCTTTATAGCCTAACCCCGTTATATCCTTCCCCCTTATAGCCTTAATCCCTTACAGCCTTACTCCCTTATTGCCTTACTCTTTATAATCTGACTCCTTTATAGCCCTACGCCCTTACAACTTTACTCCTTTGCAGCCTTACTCCTAATAGCGTTCCTCCTTATAGTCCTCTCCCCTCATAGCCTTCTCTTCTTATAGCCTTCTCTCCCTATAGCCTCACTCCTTATAACCTGATCCCCTTATTGCCTTACTGCTTTATAGCCTTACTCCTTGATAGTCTTACCCCTTACAAGCTTACCTTTTATAGCCTTGCCTTCTTATCGTCCTATCTCTTATCACCTTGCCCTCTTATAGCCTTACCCACTTTACAGGCTTACTCTTTTATAGCCTGATCCCTCATAGCCTTACCTCTTATAGTGTTCGCACTTATAGCCTGATCCCCTTGTTGCCTTACCCCCTTATTGCCTTACTGCCAAATAACCTTATCCCTTTATAGCCTTACCCCGTTACAGCTTTCCCCTTATAGCCTTCTCTCCTATAACATCACCCAATACAGCCTGGCCCCTTGTCGTCTTACCCTTCTTATAGCCTCACTCCCTTATTGCTCTATACCCATATTCCCATACGTTATACCCTTAAAGCCCTTTCTCCTTATCTCCTATACAATTATACCCCTTAAGCCTTACCCGGTTATAGCCCTACCGCTCTGTAATCTTATTTCTTTTTAGCTTCACCCTGTCATAGCCTTACCCTTCTATAGCTTTATCCTACCCCTTACAGTCCACGCCTCTATAGCCTTATCCCTTATAGCGTTACCCACCTATACTCTTATTCGACCTAGCATAGACAGACACTGTATATTATATGTATAGAAGATTCTCTTACTACCTGCAGGGCCTATACGTACTCCCATATAATAGCTCTTGAGGACCCATGAGCATCCGCATAATATAGCCCTTGGGAACTTATGAGTACCCCCTAGGACAGCCTTTGAGGACCTATGGGTACTCCCATAATATAGCCCTTGAGGACCTATGAGTACCCCATAGGACAGTCCTTGAGCACCTATGGCTATCCCCATGGGATACTCCTTGAGGACCTATGGTACCTCCATATAATACCCCATAGGACCTATGGTACCTCCATAGGATAGCTCATGAAGACCTATGGGTACTTCTATATAATAGTCCTTGAGACCCTATGAGTACCTCTATATAATAGCCGTTGAGAACCTATGGGTGCCTCCATATAATAGCCCTTGAGGACCCATGAGTACCATCACAGGATAGCCCATGAGAACCTATGGATACCTCCACTGGATAGCCTATGAGGACTTATGGGTACCTTCATAAGATAGCCCGTGAGGACCTATGGGTACCTCCATATAGTAGCCCTTGCCGCCTTCCCCTTATAACCTTATTTGACCATTAAGCCTTAACCTTTGACCCTTGACCTGGCACAGACACACTCACACACACTGAACATTATATATGTACAGATTGCATTTATTGTATTATTATTACCTTATTACAGTAATAATTATTACTTGTTATTACTAATTACTTATATTACTTTCAAGGTTTTATTGCTTTATTACTGGTAATAAGTGATAATTTTTTTTATTACTCGTAATAAGTAATAAAGTAATAATATTTATTACATTATTACTGGTAATAAGTAATAAAGTAATAATTATTATTACCAATTACCGAGTAATAGTAATAAAAACGTGATAGTAGTGTGCCACTTCTAAATTGAAGACGAATATCGAAGGGCAAATTTATCAGAAGAAGAAAAACGAATAATGCCCCTTCTGGCTCAAATCGATATATGATATTAATTCTCTTTATTTAATGTCACGTTTTCCTTCTAATATTTATTATTTAGAATATGGTCTACATAAACTACGACGAAAATCATTACCACTATTGCGACAGGATCAGAAATTCGTTGTACTGCCAGTTTATCAAGAGACCTATTCACATCAAAAATTTCTTATTTACAATAAACGAAAAAGTGCTTATGGAGGTCGTCTAATGATCTTTGCTTCTGAAGAACAATTGGATGTTTTATATCAGTCAGATATATTATTTGCTGATGGCACCTTCAGGGTATCACCAAGACTATTTGAGCAATTATATGTAATCCATGGAATCGAAAATGGCGACGGTATATATCTTCTTTTTTTTTCAACTAGCGCGAAGAAGATATGAAAAAGAACAGAAAAAAAACGTAAGAGAAAGATAAACACGGTGTATATATATAATTCAAAGAGATGAAAGAGTACACATGAATCAGCTATGAAAAGAGAGAGAGATGTCTTCGGTCTATTCATAATAATACTGTGCTAACAATAAAAATAAATTTTTCTTTCATTTCTCTTTCTCATTATTTTCAGCCGTTCCTGTTTGTTTTATTTTAACGTCGAATAGACGACAGGAAGCATATGAAGCAATTTTTCGATGTTTAAAAAAATTAACATATAAAAAGGGTGTTGATCTGAAACCAACAACAATCGTTTATGATTTTGAGAGAGTATTTATGAATGCTATTTGAATAGAGGTATGTGATTTTTTTCTAATTCTTTACACAATATTCAAAGATATTTATTCGTATATATTTATGTGCCTTACTTGATTGATACCAATATTACCGGCTGTTGGTTTCATATGTGCCAATCCTGTTATCGAAATATTCAAGAAATTGGCTTGATGAAATTATATGAAAATGATCTTCAATCACGTCATTTAATGCGTAGTTTTATGGCATTAGCACTTTTGCCTAATGAACTTATTCCAGATCGATTTAAATTATTGACAAAAAAAGTTCATGAATCTCCTCAAGCAGAACAATTGAGAATATTTTTAGTTTATTTCGAAAAGCAGTGGTTGAAACATTTCAGACCAACAATATGGTCCATGTGTGACAGCAATTGGAGAACAAATAATTTTGCTGAAGGTGAGAAAAGACACCACGATGATCTTTATAAAAATCTCTCTGAATGAATTACCTATATTTCAATATTTTTGTTTTAGCACAAAATCGACGTTTCTTCTCAAGATTTGTTCAACCACATCCCAATCTATAGAGATTCATACAATGTCTAAAGCAAGAAGAAAGTGTGATATCTCACCGATTAATTTCAACTGGGGTTGGTTTTTCGTCTACAAAATCAACAAAATCGACTAAGGCAGCCGAACGTAAAAGCAAGCAAATAAAGGAGTTGTTACACTTATTACATTCACAGCAAAAATGTCTAGATGCGACATTAACGTCTCTTGCTTATCTTGTTGGTGATCCAGTTTATCGAGATAATAGAGGAAAAAAAAGAAAAATAATGTTTCGGCATCAGGTTCATCTCATTCATCATTGGATCTATCAACAGATCGCGAATAAATGCTTATTCGTTCTTTTATTTATATTATCCAAGCCGCATCTAGTTATTTGTTATTTTTTTCTCTTCTTTAACCTCGCATCATTTGATATCATATTATTCAGTATGCTTTGTTCAAGTGTTTCATGTTATGTTAAAAAATGATGTGATCATATTCGAACGATTTCCAACGGTATAACTCACAGTACATTTATATAATACTGCACGTAATTCGTATACACCAAGTAAGATATGAATGTTCCATTTCAATGAATAGAAATCTAATTGAATTTCGCCAATACGTTCCCTGAACATTCGCCAGTAAATTCCTGGAAAGTCGCCAACTGGCGAAAGTTCAGTAGACATTCGCCAGCATATTCATTGGATAGTCGCCAATTAGCGAAACTTCACTGAACTTTCGCCATTACTTGCCCTGGATTTTTGCCAATAATTGGCGAAAGTCTTTTTGGCGAAGTTCCGGAATCCCCGCAATTTCTAAGTGGAAGAAAATTGAACATATATTTTGTGCCGTGACTTTTTACACGTTGATTATACCAAAACCGGATAACTTAAAAATCGAATATCTCGGTTTAGTGTTACTATGGGCATGTAACATTTTAAATTTGTTAGTTTGGCAGTGCGAGTGGTAATGTGATCCAAATACGGTCAATCTTCTTGATAACTAGTACAAAAGATTCCATTGTAAGAGCTTCCTTTTCTCTTACTTGCTATTGGTAAAAATATTTTGATTGGTTACAAAAAAACACAGGATTTGAAGCTCTGAGAAACTGCTCCATTAGTTTTCCAGAGAAGTTTTCTTTGGTTATGTCCACTTTAAAAGCTGAACATTCAATCAAATGCCTATCTGCGGCGATAAACAGATCTGAAAATATACTGAAGATTTTCTGACGAAGGATTCAACTAGAGTTTCAAAAATGCTGCGCAATTTTTCGGCAAACTCTGCATTTTGGATGTATATTGTAGAGTCTTAGATGGAATATGTGGGACAAGCAATTTTGAAACAGAAAATGGAAACATTGAAGAAAGCCGTTTATATTAGAAGTATGTGTCACCAACTGAGAGAGTATGCGTATATGGTCGTCGGCGTGATGGTATATTGTGCGTCAAGTGCCAAGAACCGAATTTTCAATCTTGATTTTTTTTAAAGCGCTTCTTTATAGTAGAATTCTTTTATCTGTTTCAGTTTTCGTGATACAAGGGTGTGAGGTGTGGATGTGGTTGTTGGATTATCCATTCACCCCACCCATCCACACCCACATCTATACCTACACCCGCATTATTTCTTTCTGCTTGTTTCAAGTTTTGCTTTCTTGCATGTTAATCACTTTTGTATAATTAACTTATCAAAATAAAAGCTTCACGAATGCATTACTACACAGGAAAAAGTGACTTTTTGTAACTAACTCCGAATTTTATGCTCAATTGCCGAACATGCATGTCTTAGAGGAGTATGTTACCCGAGTATAAAGTCACACATACATTTTCCATGGCATGTAACCAACTTTGTCTCAAGTCTGAGTACCAACTAGACCCCAGCGTGACCAACTTTTTCTGTTACGGTCACGTCATGCTCAGGAAAGTTTGATTATGGTCACGGGCATCCTTTCTGCTGTGTTGCGAGTAGAGGTGTACAGCTCATCCTCAAGAGCGCCCATAAGAGCGTCAGCGAAGATACCTTTGGGTCCTCATCTCCGATTATTTGAAGATATTCCTGGATCTTCATCTCCTACTATTTGGAGATACCCTTAGATCTTTAGGTCTTCATGTCCTATTATTTGAAGACACACTTGAGTCCTCAAGTCCTATTATATAAGGGTACCCATAGGTCAGCAGAGGGATGTAACAATATTAATACTTCCAATACCAATACCGAATGCTACTGATAGTATTGGTATCGGTAGTTTGCAAAGCGAAATCAAACTTGAAAATTCTGGAAAAATAATGACAGTTTCGGATTCCTCAACTCCGCCAAACTTTGATCAAACTTTATAAATCCCTTATTTTGAGGAAAAAGCCTTCTCTGACGAAAAAATGAAGAACTTAAAATTAAACTCTCCGAATTTTAGGCTCTAACTTTTTTCGTCAAGGAAACGCTTCTTTTTTGGAAAGAAACGGTAATATCTAAATTTCGAATAACAGCTTTCGGGAGCGAGGAATACGAATCTATCATTAATTTTTCGAAATTTTCAAGTTTGATTTTCCTTTGCAAAATACCGATATCAATGTCACCAATAGTATTTGGTATTGCTATTGGAAGTGTTAGCAATGTTACATCCCTGTGCTGACCTACGGATACCCTTATAAAAAACGCATGAAGATCCAAGGCCACCTCCATATAATTGGAGATGAGGATCCAAGAGTATCTTCAAATAATAGGAGATGAGGACCCAAGCCTATCTTCGCTCATACTCGTGTGCACTCATATGAGCGTAAACGTGAGCTGTACACCCCTAGCTACGAGTCGTGCTCTATTTTCTTGAAATACATTTATTATGACGAAAGTTAAACAAAAGCAAGAGCAAGTAAAAATGATGAGATCATTAATCAGAAAGAAGAAAACTAAAGGATGACTCAAAAGTTTCGAACCTTCAGTAAATTAATGTTAATTATAGCAAACATCCACATAATTAATTGCGAAATATACAATTCTGTTAGGAAAGATTAGAGCTATCATTGGCCACATGATAGCTCTAATCTTTCCTAACAGAATTGTATATTTCGCAATTAATTATGTGGATGTTTGCTATAATTAACATTAATTTACTGAAGGTTTGAAACCTTTGAATGATCGTTTAGAGCAATTTTATATGTTTCTGGGTTCTAATTTTTCCTGTAACATTTGACATACGATCCAAAAGCAATGGCACAAAATGTTGATCCCTATTTCACTTCGATAGACAGGTGCTGAAAGAAAATTTTTTTATCAAAAGATAGAGCTTTGTCTCTTCTTTCAAATTGTATATAACTTATTTTTATAACACGTGCGTAAATGAAACAGCACAATAAAAAAGAGAGACACTCTCAAAACAAATCTACAATTTTCGTGTAATTTAGAAAAACATCGCAGTGTTGATTCCTTTATGTTTTGGATAAGTCTTTAATAAACACGTTTTGAAAAGAAAATTTTGTTATCAGCTGATAGGATATTTTATCCTCTTTCGAACGGTGTGTGTTTTATATCTGTCACACATTCGTAAATAAAAATTAGACGAAGAAAGAGAAAGACTCCTGCAAAAAATTTGCAGTTCTTATATTGAGTAGGCACAAAACATCTTGTTAGAAAGAAATTAATTTGATTTTCGTGTACTCATTAAAAAGCCCTTGTGAAACAGTGGTTATTTAGGCTTTTATGAACTTGTTAAAAACAGTTTGTAAAACGACAACTAATAATGCTTAACTGTCATCTACCGATATTTTTGACTAATTCGTATAAAAATTGCAAACTTATTGCAGAAGTCTTCCTCTTTCTTCTTCATCTAATTTTTATTTACGAATCTGTGACAAATATAAAGCATACACCGTTCGAAAGAGGAGAAAATTTCCTATCAGCTGATAACAAAATTTTGTTTTTACAACGTATTTATGGAAGAAATACAGGAGTCGACATTTTGTATCGTTCTTTTACAAAAAAAAGTGCGAATTTGTTTTGAGAGTGTCTCTCTTTTTTATTGTGCTGTTTCATTTACACACGTGTTATAAAAATAAGTTATATACAATTTGAAAGAAGAGACAAAGCTCTATCTTTTGATAAAAAAATTTTTCTTTCAGCACCTGTCTATCGAAATGAAATAGGGGTCAACATTTTGTGCCATTACTTTTGCAACGCATGTTATGTTTAATTATTTCGATTCGGAAAAAACGGATAAATTGTCATAATAAGTTAAAAATATGAAATTATTTGTGTTGTAGAAAAACTAATGCAATTTACATAGACACAGAATATGTGATTGTTTTTTTTACCCGTGATTGGCCGTGACCAAAGTCCACCCACGGACTTTTAAGGAAATGTTCGTCACGGTCACGGTCACGGTCGTGACCATGACCACCCGTGAGTCACGACGGTCACACCGGGCTCTAGTACCAACAATTTACTTAGACCGAGTTGTTCTGAGCTCGATTTTTCATAAGTAAGCGTCCTCACTTAAGACAGTCAGGAAAACGCAAGCTACTTCAATCTAGCATTCCGAAACCAAACTTTATGAGAAAAATACGAAAGCGTTGCAGCGTCTCGAAAACATCGCACACTGCACGCAAACACTATCGAACCTTTTAGTCTAGCCATCGAATCTCGGAGTCACCTAAGATAATTTCCAAAGCGCCAAATAACTTCGACGAGTCTATAAACTTTCAACGCAGATTATTCGAGAAAGAAAAGGCCGTAAAACTGCGAAAACAAAAACAAAATGTGAAAAAACGAATCACAGACAAGAATTAATCAACTCTGACAACCTTTGGTAAAACTTTATTAAAAAACTAATTTTTTCGTAACAAACCGCTTTTTTACAAAAGATACGGAGTACAAAATTTCAAAAACCTAATAGCAGATCTCAATCCTGTGATGCCCAAAAGCCTTCGGTCAAACTTTGTAAAAAAATCAATTTTTTCATAAGAAAGTGCTTTTTTTCACAAAAAAAACGGAGTACAAATTCCAAAAAACTAATAGCAGATTTGAATTCCTTGGCCCCACAAACCTT